TAGGATGGTCAAACTCAATATAACATAAATATGAGATACATATTTTTATCTTGTATTTTTATCAATATTTTCTCAATTACAGACTTTAGCGGTATACAAAGTAGTATTTTGCCTATATTCAAAATGTTATATTTAAAACATTATTATTTAAAATGTATAATTAAGTTAACTTCTGTGGAAAAATTAATAAGGTTGTGTGGCAAAAAAATATTTGTTCCTGTCTGATACTGTGACTTGACTTGACTTGATCCTTAGCAGGACTCGACTTGACTTGCTTGAGGTGAGCCACTGACTTGACTTGCTTGATTTGTTTGTACTGTGACTTGAGACTTGCTTGAGACTTGATGGTAGGGACTTGAGACTTGCTTGAGACTTGAAAATGTGTGACTTGCCCCCACCTCTGTTTGATTGTACTAACAGAAGAGAAGGGAGAAACATAAGAGTTTTACCCAAGTCAAAAAGTTTGGACCCACACCAAATCTCTCTAGACAGCTGAAAAGATAGCTCCACTCCACTCTTGTGATTTCCGGTATATGCTCATTTGAGTCAGGAGAATAAATAATATCAAATATTCGTCAAAGATAGTAGGGAGAACATTCTTCAGTCTTCTTTAGGTCAAATCTTTGTTTTTCTTAATGTTTTTTTTCTGTATTCTAAATGACAGTTAGATTATTTTAGCAAAATAAACAGAATACAGTACAAACTTTGCGGAAGGGGTTGTTTTGCACAAGTAGTAACTTAAATATTATGCAGAACATATTACTTTAGCTAAAGTATTTGTATCAATACTGGGGGCCGAATGTGAGGTAAAAGACCCCCCTTGCCACATCATGTATTTATATAATTTTAGGATTTATTTTCCCACAAAAGGTGTTGCTCCATCAAAGTTCGATAAAACGTATATTTTAATATGTATTTTTTTTCTGCAGTCATAGGAGTAGTGAAAATAACATTTTCCTTAAGCTATGCCTTTTGCCTGGTTGTACCTTAGATTGAATGAGTGTTTGTTTTCTCAATATTTTTGTTGCCATGTTTTATACAAGCCAATTTAAGTGAGTTTTAGCTGCTTGGCTTAAAAAAGGGATAGATCAAAAATAAAAAATCTGTCATCATCAACTCACCCTCCTGTTGTTCTAAACTAGAATGATTTCCTTTGTTCTGCAGAACACAAATGAAGATAACTAAAGAATGTGTGAAGTGTTTTTGCACATATAATGAAAGTCGTCTAAAGCATCTAAAAAAAAGTACTATAAAATTAGTAGCAGCTCTCATGGGCGTGTATTTTCACATTCCTCCAATGTTTCTTCATCACTCTTACATGCAAACAGCATAAAGCAGCCCACTTATAACTGTGCAAATACATCTACTGGCTGAATGTGCCAGTCGAACTGCCATGGAGATGAATGAGAATGCTAATGGATAGCTCTTTCTAAGTATATTAGAACTTCTTGATTAGACAGACTGGATCACACAGACCCAGACAGTGAAAGCCGTGGCAAAGATATATATTTATTATTGAAACATTTCAGACTGACCCCAGTGAATGTGTGGCCTGTAGGTCTGCTGAACAGAGGAGATACAGCAGTGTGATGTGTCTTTTGCTTCATGTAAAGAGAGCACTGATTGCTTTCAGTGGCCCTTCTGGCCTTCAGTGAGTCTATTTCCATTATCCCTGCAATCGATTCGCTGCAGCTCCACCATCTCTCTTCCCTTTTCTGCAAACTTTACCCCCCCTCTATCACAGACCCTCTGTTACTCAAACAAATCGGTGTTTTCTTTCTGTCTTTCCATCTCAGATGTTGCCAGGGCGATTGAGCTGCTGGAAAAATTACAGGAGTCAGGTGACGTCCCGGGTCACAAGCTGCAATCCCTGAAGAAGGTTCTACAGAGCGAGTTCTGCACGGCCATTAGAGAGGTGAGACCTACATCACGTATTGCTGACACCTCCAGAGTTTAGCAGCATAAAGATATCCTCATAACTATATCACAGGGATAGGTTGTCCAAAAGTGAAAATTCTGTCATTGTTTCTGTGGAATATACAAAGATATTTAGCAAAATGTCCAAGCTGCTGTTTTCTTATGTTTATAAAAATGGACCAAAAAAGTGGTCCACATTACTTGTGCAGCATATCCAAGTCTACTGAAGTCATAACTTAATTTTGTCCAAGGCACAGCATGAAATTTGGAATAATTTATTCTGATTGGACAATTGTGGAAATCTATGGGCTCTTTGTGCTCACCTACTGAAACTTCAACTGAAACTTTAACTTCAAACTGTGTGTGTGTGTGTGTGTGTGTGTGGATATACAAATGTGTGGACTATAAAAATAATTTTCATTAACTGAAATAAAGTTGAATGAAATAAAACTGAAAATAGAAAAACTGAAATGTAAAAAACTTTTTGAAATACAATGAATGTAAGTTTCGATTTTAAGTAGCTTTGGATAAAAGCGTCTGCTAAATGAATATATGTATCTGTAAATGTAAGCTGAATTACTATAATTAAAGTGTGAAAAAAAAGTGTGCCGTGACATGTAGCCAAGTATGGTGTCCCATACTCAGAATTTGTGCTCTGCATTTAACCCTTCCAAATGCACACACACAGCAGTGAGTAGTGAACACACACACACACACACACACCTGGAGCAGTGGGTAGCCATTTTTGCAGCGGTGCCGAATTTGTGCTCTGCATTTAACCCTTCCAAATGCACACACACAGCAGTGAGTAGTGAACACACACACACACACACACACACCTGGAGCAGTGGGTAGCCATTTTTGCAGCGGTGCGGGGGGCAGTTGGGGGTTCGGTGCCTTGTTCAAGGGTCTCACCTCAGTCATGGTATTAAAAGTGGAAGAGAGCGCTGTACATTCCTTAATGTATAATAATAATGCTAAATAATTGTTATAACAAATAAATTAAATTAATTACACCATTTGCAGTGATTTATGGGATAAGTATTTCATTCTACTTTAGGAGTATTTAAGTATTGACTTTCCTTTTTTCTGCTTTTCATAATTTCAGTGTTGTGATTCTTGAAACTTAATTAGTGTGCTTCATTGCTTAGAACTGGGGGGGGGGGGGGTAGTCATTTCAGAATCAAGGACAGTAAAAAAAGCAGGCAGCCAGGCAGCATTCTTCATCAGAGGCTGTGGTAGGTATAGACCGAGGATCATCAATTATGGGATGGAATCTCAGCGTCATTTGAGCCTGACGTTCGTGACAGACGTGCGACGAGGGTGCGATGACAGGAATGTGTCTGTCAGGCAGAGATAGTGGCAACTGGTGCCTGTTTTACTCTGCTCCTCCCACAAACTTGCTGAAATGCAATTATTCAGAGAATGAGGTTGACCTGGGCCACTGTGGTTTTAAGTGCAGCACCAGGGCAACATCCTTACCTCTCCTTCATCCATTTCCATACTCAAACACTGGAACCGCAATAGTAAACAACTGCAAAACAACTACTTTATTTCACAGACAGACACATTTTAGTACTATAGGGTACAGTTTTATTCTGGAGGAAATGCCTTTTCCTATTTAGTAGTGTATGTGTGAGCTGTACAACACAGGGCGAGAAAAGAAACCCTTTATGTTAACTAATTTTATTTAATTAATTATTACAAGGATGATCATATGCTGCCTTTTAGTATGACACCACAGCTGTGCTTTCTGTCACTAGTGAACTGAGCACATATAACCATGTGCTCGTTTATTTTGAAACAGTATGTGAAGTTCGTGACCAGCTAAACAACGAAAAGAAAAACAATGAAAAAGATACTCACAAAACAAATATTTAGGACATCAATTGTTTTTTTTTCTACTACTGTCAATGTCAGGTGAGAAAATACTAGCTTTGAAAGTAATTTAGCATTTTTATTTTAGGACTAACACAAGTGAACAACCACAGTTAAAGGGGTCATATGATGTTGCTAAAAAGAACATTATTTTGTGTATTTCATGAAATGAAATGTGTTTATGCGGTTTAAGGTTAAAAAACACATTATTTTCCACATACTGTACATTATTGTTTACCCTCTATGCTCCGCCTTTCTGAAACACGTTGATTTTTAGAAAGCTCATCGGTCTGAAAAGCGAGGTGTGCTGTGATTGGCCAGCTATCCAGTGTGTTGTGATTGGCCGAATTCCTCAAGCGTGTGACAGAAATGTTACGCCCCTACCATACTGTGATGGTGTGTCCCGGCCAGAGCGACGAGACAAAAACATGAAAACCCATTATAAACAAGGCATTTGTTGCATCCAGTGGGGACATAATTACGGAACTTATACTGACGCGTTGCATCGTGCCGCGTAAACATAAAACCATGTCTGCATTTGTGATCGGAGAAATGACAAACAACAAGCGCTACTCTACACTGCTCAAAACTCGCATTTGAATGGTCAGTGGCAAATTCTTTAAATATAAAAAACGTACTTACAGTCTGTGAGTCAGAACAGCCGGCATTGTAGTCTACTCTACCAGGATCAGGAAACAGTCCTCCATAAAATGTGCTGGACGCATCTGAATATTTGGGTTGAACTGTTCTGGAACAGTGTTGTAAATACAACTTAACCACTGATTTCTAGTCGTGTCCTCTTTTGGAAGACCAAACAAAGTAGTTTGTCTTTCATAAAGAAACACACAGCATCACACTTGAGTGAGTGGCGGCCGGGCTAGAGTGAGGAACGGCAGGCGGATTCGACGAAGGAGTAGCCGGCGGGGTTGCGGCAACCACATGTGACGACCCCGGGCTGGACTCCGCTTCGTCCATGGTGAAAGCCGATCCGGCGATCCACAGCGCGAAGTTGATGTATTTCCTCAGCGACCAGCACGGATCAGTTCTAGGCATGACGAAGAGGATATTGTCCTCTTTTGGAAGGCCAAACAAAGTAGTTTCGCTTTCACAACGAAGCACACAGCGTCTTCACGACATGGCGGCAACAACAATACTACAGCGAGCATAAAAGTTACGCCTTCTTTCTTTGTGTGAACATTTGCACGGCGTGATGCAAATCTTCCCACATCGTGACGTAGACATGTGGGGGCGTGTTAGAACGAGACGTTATAGGTAGGTGTGGTTGACTCTTTACTTTTATAAAGAATATTTCTTTGGATTTGAGACTTTAGTCTTTGCAACTTTACAGATCTTCTTTATGCACCAAGAGCTTGTAACACTCCAAAGAGAAAGGAAAAATTGAAATCGCATCATATGACCCCTTTAAGGCCCATTCACACAAAGAGTGATAACTATAAAGATAACAATAATGATAACTATATTAGTGTTAACACTATGAAAGATAACATTCTGTTTCTTATAAGCGTGTGCTGCAGTTATTGTCTAACGCTTTAAAAGCTGAAACTCTTTAAAGTCAGGTGGATTCTGATTGGCAGTCAATGTTTTTATTGTTTATCAGCTAAAAAAAAATAGTCTGAAAGTGATTCCAATGATATTTATCCTCTATCGCAGTGGTTCTCAAAGTGTAGGGCGCGCCCGCCATGAGGGGCGCACGAGTATTGCAGGGGGGGCGCAGGCCATCAGCAGAAAAAGAAAATAAATAAAACAGTAAACAGCCAAAGGACGTAACTTAGAATGGGAGATGGGTCGGTTTGTGAAAGGGAAGAGAAAAACCATAGATGAAGTCGCACAGACCCAGGCAGGTGCTGGTCATTCAAAAGCTAAATGCAGAAAATATGACGAGGCATATCTTGCTCTCGGCTTCACTCACCGTTTTTATACCGGACGCTACAATTGTTGCATCACGCCGCAACAGCTCTACACTGGGCGCGACAAGCGATCGTTGCAAATCATTTTAACTTTGTGTCAGTACGTCATAAACAAAACAAGGCATTAGTTTAATGTTGGGTTTTGTCGTGTCACGTCACGCCGCATCCAGTCTAGACAGTGTCACTGATTATAATGGGTTCTACTGTATTTTGCTGCTCACGTCCTGTGTAAACACGGTGCTTAATGTCATTGGTGAGGAGGAAAGCCTGTGTGTGTCCTATGCCTTAGCGGACAGCATGAAAGCCACAAATAAATAAATAACAGATAGAATAATAATAATAACAGTTAGGCTATTCTCTCTATGCTATTTTTCAATGTTTCAAGTGATGCAGGTGTTTTTTTTCCCTGTAGGTTTTTTAATTAAAAAAGTATACATTTTTGCGCAATCTGTCTCTTACATTCCCTTAACGAGGGTGTGAAAGGACACTCACGTGTCACAACGTCGACTCAATTTACAGCGCCAGCAGCAAAGCTCTGCGTGGCAGAGACAATGTCGGTATGACAAAATGTGCCGTGAAAATGTCCTCAACCAAAAAATCTAAAGAACAGAAAAATTAGATGCCACAAACACGGAGCACTTCAAGATCAAGACTATCAGTAACTATGGTGCCTAGTGACAAGAGGTCTCATCTATTCAGATGAGTCATCAAGCTTACTTAGCCATGTGAAATCATTAACAAAAAACGAGGACTACTAGACACTAACCAACTGCAGTGGCCAAAACATACCCTCTCAAAATCATCTGTCGTGTCTCCTCAAAATGCTTGTCAAGAAACGTTTCAGATTCAGTACAACTTTAGCTAAATGAACAGCATCTGTTGCACGCATCAAAAATTGTGTTTACAGTAAAGTGAAATGTGGAGGTCGTTAGTTTCTGTCTGAAAAGATGACAGTGTATCTTTCTACCCAGTATTAGGGCCAGATTTACAGATATAACAGCTTGCACCAGCGCAAACCTTCTTTTGCCATTAAAAAACTACTGTCAGGATTTACTAAAGACACGGAGTGAAAAATTTGTGATGAAAAGGCGTGGACCCATCCCGTGGTTATTTTTGTGGCTGACCTTATTGCATATGCATTGTAGGAGTTTCTCTTTCAGACACAAAATTTATAGGAGGAGAGAATTTAAAT